TCCTTGCTACTGTTGTCACTGACCCTTCCGTTGAGTCCACTGCTGCGTCTGCCCTAGTTGCTGAGCTCGTCGACTTTGCTGCTCGCTGTCGCCTAGACTACGTCGCCAGTCTTGTTGCTGAGTCTGAGTCTGTCTGTCCTCCGTCCGTCGGGGGTGAGTGTGCCCTTGGCACGGACGTCCTTGAGGACAGGCAGGAGGAGTTCCAGTGCTTGGCCGCTGCTTCACCTCATCTCGTGTCCGTACTGCTTACCCCTGAGGGAGACCCGGATGCACTTGACATCCCGACTCCGCGCTCTTACGCGGAGGCGATAGAGGGTCCCTACTCCTCTCAGTGGCAGGCAGCTATGGACGCAGAGATGGCTTCCTGGAAGTCCACAGGCACCTACGTTGACGCTGTTCCCCCTCCTGGGGCGAACATCGTCAGTGGCATGTGGATTTTCAGGGTGAAGCGACCGCCGGGTTCTCCGCCTGTCTTCAAGGCGCGTTACGTGGCTCGTGGCTTCAGTCAGCGGCAGGGAGTTGACTACTTTCAGACCTTCTCTCCCACCCCGAAGATGACCACTCTTCGGGTACTGCTGCACGTAGCTGCTCACCGTGACTACGAGCTACACTCTCTTGACTTCAGCACTGCTTTCTTGCAGGGCAGCCTGCACGAGGAGATCCGGCTGCGTCGCCCACCTGGCTTCACTGGGTCTTTTCCTCCTGGCACCCAGTGGAGCCTACGGCGGCCAGTCTACGGTCTCCGCCAGGCACCGCGTGAGTGGCACGACACACTAAGGACTACACTTGCGGCTCTTGGGTTTGCTCCCTCTACTGCCGACCCGTCGCTGTTTCTGCGCACCGACACTTCTTTGCCGCCGTTCTACATCCTCGTGTACGTCGACGACTTGGTCTTTGCCACAGCTGACACTGCTGGACTAGCCCACGTGAAGTCCGAGCTGCAGAAGAGACACACGTGCACTGACCTGGGTGAACTGCGCAGCTACCTTGGCTTGCAGATCACTCGGGACAGAGCACGCCGCACCATTACCCTGACTCAGTCACACATGGTGCAGCAGGTCCTTCAGCGCTTCGGCTTCACGTACTCCTCGCCTCAGTCCACTCCTCTGCCTACTCGCCACTCGCTCTCAGCTCTGCCTTCGGATGAGTCCGTAGAGTCGAGTGGCCCGTACCCAGAGCTTGTTGGCTGCCTCATGTACCTGATGACCTGCACACGACCTGACCTTGCATACCCTCTTAGCATTCTTGCACGCTATGTTGCTCCTGGGAGACACAGACCGGAGCACATGGCTGCAGCGAAGAGGGTGTTGCGCTACTTGTGCAGTACGTCGGGCATGGGGCTTGTGCTTGGAGGGCAGAGTCCAGTGGTCCTTACTGGGCACGCAGACGCTTCTTGGGCTGACGACCAGGCTACGAAGCGGTCGTCACAGGGTTACACCTTCAGCCTTGGTTCCGGCTCTGTTTCGTGGCGGGCTACCCGCTCGTCTTCTGTTCTCGGCTCCAGTTGTGAGGCTGAGATCTACGCAGGAGCAATGGCTGCACAGGAGCTTCGCTGGCTCACCTACCTGCTGACTGACCTCGGAGAGCTGCCTCGTTCTCCTCCAGTGCTGTACGTAGACAACAAGGCCATGCTGGCCTTGTGTCGGGAGCAGCGACTGGAGCACAGAACGAAGCACATTGCTCTCCGCCACTTTCTTGCTCGTGAGCTGCAGCAGCGTGGTCAGCTGCGTCTTGCGTACGTGGCCTCTGAGGCCAACACTGCTGATATCTTCACCAAGGCGCTTGCGCCTTGTGACCATCAGCGCTTCTGTACTCAGCTGGGCCTTGTGCCTACCTTGCCTCACTTGCTCACCTCTTGACCTTGCTTGTGCTGTTACATATATATATACCTGCTCTTGCTTGTCTAGCCTTTATATATATATGTACTCCTGCATGTGAACTGGCCTTGTGGCCTTGAACTTGTGCTCGGAATGTGTGGTGACTTTGTGATCCACCCTGAGCTTGCTTTGCTTTACTTTGCTTGACTGGTCTTGTGACCCCTTGTTCTCCCCCACTTTGCCTATGGGGGTGTGTCAGAATATTATAGCTCATGCATATTGTGTAGGCTATAGTGGGGTAACCCATAAGGGGTACAACCCAATTAGGGTTAGTACTTGTACCCAATTCATACATAGTTCATTCATTCCTTGTTTCTTATCAGAATTATCATAAGTCGTCGTATCGCAACATGTCGCTAATAAACCACCACGGTGTTGGATGTGAGGTGGATAAGGACGACATCATGTCGATCGAGGACAGTTAGTGGCTTACCGATTCTGTGATCGATTTCCACAACGTGTGAGTTTCACATCTCCATATATCGTTTCACGAACTAGTTCAACACCGTGTTATTCAAGTTGTTATTCGCTGGTCTAAGTTATGTTTCTATGCACCTGCAGGCTGCTTAGCATCCGCAAGCCAAAGCTCCGTGACGGAAAGAGATGGGCTGCCATGGACTGCAAGGCGTACACACAGACGAATGTGTATGGAACGCCCGTGACGCTGGGACACGGGTTGCCATTGCTCGAGGCGTAAGTTGTATACATATCCGCTGTTTATGCGGTGTTTATAGTGTGACATATATGACTGTCTATCATACAACCCTTCCTCCCCCTACGTGTTGCGCTCGCAGTTAACACTACTCACTCTTCATCGTGATATCTCCATCGGTGCTCAACAAGTCCGCGAAATCTGCCGGGAGAGAGCGGCTGAAGATGGTATTGTTTGACAGTGCCATCAAGTCAATGAATTCTCGCAAGATCTTTACTGGCACCAAACTGTGAGTGGGTTTCCATCGGGCGAGGGCACATCTAGTTGTATAAAAACCCGTTTACAACTATGTTGGTGCGCGGCGTGGAGTGTGCTGTCAGAACTCGCCAAAGCTAGCAACCCTAAGGCGAACATGGAGCGTGTGGACAAGCTGCTCGTGGAGGCGGATTGCTAGATTCTAACGGTGAGTACATTCGTTTGATTCCGTACTCTAGTGTTCAGTTTATGAGACACATGTACAAATTCCTCACTATACTTATGCTCGAGTGCAGGAGGATAGGCTGCCACAGCAACCGAACAAGGAGGACAGTGGTGTTTTTGTATGTCAGTACTTAAGGACCTTGGTGCACACCGACTTCACGACCGTCATGAATGGCCTGTGGTTTCAGGGTGTGACCGTGCACCAATACAGGCAGGAGATGCGTCGCGACTTATGCACACACGCATGCAGGGATCTTCTTCGGCAGCTGGAGCAAATGGGGATTGAAATCCCTCCGCAAGACTCAAGCTGGGTTACAGACGAGGGGACAGTGGTGCAGGAGAAGAACACTGGAATAGGAGCTGCGAGGCAAGTCCAGTACACTCACCTTGGAGAGGACGTACGGGTTACCAAGATGATGAAGGAGGTGGCTACGCTGAAGAATGAAGTAAGGTTCATGGACACGAGTTTCACCGTCATAGCCAACGTCATAGGATTGAGGTGGGAGGAGGTGGTGTCCGCGGCAACCCAACTACTCCTGCACGAGCAGCATGTGTCCCTTGGTGGGAAAGCAGAGGTAGGTGGTAGCAAGACCGCTCCACGAACCCCACAATGTCCATCGGGTTGTAAGAGACGGGATGACAGCAGTCCAGAGGAGGAGGGAGTACGCAACGCCACCCGTGCTCTGGCCTCCTCGTTTGCTGCATGTGACACGCCTGCGCGCATTCTGCCGAACCCACTCTTGGCGCACGGAACCATACCTCACTGGATGTTCACACGCGGGAGATAGCTGATGGGAGTTACGGTGCCGGTAGGGGAGGCGTGGGGAGATACGCGAGCGCCTGAGACGGTGAAGGCCGAACCAGAACAAGATCTGGTATCAGATACAGACGACAAAGACGAGGAAGACGGCGCGAGTGCCACCAAGTATACCAGAGTGAAGATAGAGAAGGACTCTGGCAAGTATGGCGTGAAGATCTTGATGAAGGAGGGCGGGAAGCGGAAGAAACAGCTCTTGGGAGCGTACACCTCGATCGACGAGGCGGCGTACGCTTACGCGGCAGCTGTGTGCGTGCTCAGGCCGCGAGACAAGATACCCAACACAGTGAACCTTACAACTGCTGAGAAGGCGCTGCTGCGTGGATGCACCAAAGATGATATGCAACTCCATGTGGAAGCAAGGAGGTGGTGGAGGTGGAGGAGCTGGCGGGAGGCGCTCGAGGGTGTCAGCAGCAAGCTGAGATGCGGAAGGAAACTGGGAAGTGCCAGAGGTGGGGTAAAGAGGCAGAGGGTGGGAGACAGTAATGCCACAGGGGCGAACGAACTAGATTACGCCGATAATGCTGAGAGTGAAGGAACCACTCATGTCAACAACGACATCGGCGATTGTACGAAGATCACGGACCAAAGAGTGCAGGTGGAAGAGGCGACTACACATGATAAGACGTCTGCCCCTGCTGCATATGGGCTGCAGATGGGCAGTAAAATTTAGCCCTAGTGATGCGTTGTTAGTGGGCGTTGCAATGCGAGACATTGAGGGATTAATCTTGCTTTCTTGTATGCATATGGCGATGATGGTAAAAATGCGTTCATAAATGTTTGGGACACGTGGTGTTTCCGAGTGATGTTCAATTAACCCGGTATAAGGGTGCAGATTTGTTCGCGATATGAAAGTGTAGTTGGTTGAAAGTGTGCAGAAAGAAGCTCAGAAGGTTGCAATCTTGAACCACAAGGATATGGGTTGTTCACGTGAATGTGCGCAGTGTGTGGTTATGGAGTGCACACATATTACAAATATGCGGATGACGTGGGGTGCAGTCATTTGTGAATTCGGATTGCGGTAATCCGAAAGTCCACCACGTCAGACCGCCTAAATTACAGATGGGAAAAACTGGTGTGTGGGGTTAGGTGGAGTTGCATAGAGGAGTTGATGTAGAAATGTGTTTTGCTGCGTCATTATGGGAGCATCACACTGGATACTTACGTTGCGAGAATGGATACTTCGCTTGCCTCCGAGGAGACAAGGGCGGGAGGGCACGCCTGTCGTGTCTCAATGCCGCCGGCGTATCAGCGGGCGACTTATCAACTGACGATGCCGCGAGGTCGACTGTCCAACGGGACGCGAGGGGTGACGTTGCCTAAGCGTTTGAGTATTTCCAAGAAGGCCAAGGAGGTGGTGCATCAGGATGAAGGTATGCAAAACCGTTGCGTGATGCACAACTTCTCAGATTTTGGTGTGTTTCTCCCGGCGTGAACACACGATGTTCTCATTATGCTGTATACTGATGTGCGGTTTCTGTTATTTTGGGTTCTGTATCAACCACACAGATGACGGCACGGGCGCTGGGACGGCAGATTCGTCCCGGAGTAGTGACGAGGAGGAGGAGGCCGACTCTGACACATCTGCTTCGGGTTCACCCGAAGAATCTGGCGCCCGGGCTACGAGGGGGAAGACGGTCGATGAAGGGTGCAAGGGTACCGCTACGCCCATCGCTAAAACACAAGACGATCGCGAAGAGAGGGAACCGGAGTTACATCGAGATGACGAGCGCACGCCCGTGGAAGGATATGTGAACCGCACCGGAGGGACACCATTGGACACCAACTTTGAGGATGTGCGCATCTCGAGCAAGGTCCTAGAGCAACTTATCCAGGCGCAGGATAAGAGCGCAAAGGAGAACGCTCGGTTGGAGGCACTATTCTTGAATGCAATGTCCAAGCCTTCCGGTGGCTCTCGACGCCGTAAGGCGCAAAAGCAAAGAGACCCGGGACAGGGGTGTATGAACCCGAAGCGTCAGCTCGTCGAGTCATGGAGCGGGGAGTCAGATGATGACGCCGAGGACGACGACGAGGACATGCAGGGCTCGGGTGGCCGTCATATGCGCACCGCCAAGTCTCCTATTCTGCAACGCGCGTTGGAGCATCTGCCGACAGACAAGGCGTGGAAGGTGAGCGGTCATGCGCCCGTTGCGAGCGATAAGAATTGACGGAATCTGTGTTGGGTTTACTGACTCTGTGCAATGTGTATACAAATTGTGCGCAGAGGGTGTGCGAACTCGCACGGGTGCACATGTTTCTCAACAAACCCACGTCGACGATGACGTTCTACCCGAGCAGCGACGATAAGACACACGGCGTGTGTGCAGTGCTGGACCGCCTGCCTCATAGCTTCGTGTGTTTGGCTTTGGCGGCTGACAAGTCGTGCCGTGCGGAACTCAACAAGACGCTGTCCTAATGGAAGACCAGGGCTACTGCTCGCATGAGAGACATTGCACTTCCGAAGCTCGGCCTCTTCCGTGACGATAGGGATGCCGCCAGTCCGTGGGCACCAAAGAAGGAGCACAGCATCGACAGGATAAGGGAGCACATTGGGCTTGGAGCTGACCCCCCTGGTGAGTGCGATATTGGTTGAATTAATCACATCATGTGTTTCCCCCCTTGTATGGATTCCGGCCAATGCAACTGACAGGGCACATGTGGTGTGCAGAAAGTCTGGTGCTTACGAGCTGGGTGACCGACAGGGATGGGATCCTGTTCGCATCCCGGGCCTTTGCGACCTGTGCAAAGGCTACCTTCAAGCCGAAGAAGGCCGGCCTGGTGATGACACTGAAGGTGTATCACCTGGCCTGGTTTGAGCATGTGGTGAGTGTTTATGCTAGACTTGGATGTTATGTTGAGCCGGAATGGTAAACATGAGAGTGACGTTGTTTGTGGTGGCGCATGTGTCCGACAGCGTCATCTACTGGGAGGAGAGGAAGGGCCGGCTTTCCAACTCCGCCGGTGGGAACGCCCATGTCGTGAATGGGCTCAAGGTCCTCGTGAAGGAGGCAGTGGAGAGGGCGATCAGGATCGGCAACCCCGAGTATTAATTTATGTGATGCTATCATTTGCATTCACGTCTGTCTGCCTCCCATCATATGTTCGTGCGTTGCATGCATGGTGTGTGCGTGCGTAAGAATTTGTGTTTGGCATGGTTTGGATTTTCTGAGTGTGTGTGAATGTTATTTGGCTTGGGCAGATATCTGAAGTGACTTCTCTGCTCAAGAGCTTTCCGACGAACCAAGAATCGTTGCGATCGAAGCAAGAACAAGAAAGATATGATCGTTCGAAGTTTTTTATTGTGATGCAGCGACTATGGGAATTTGCGGGTTGACTCAATATGGGGTACAGAATTTTGGGGGCTGGGAAATTCGTCACCATCACTGTAGATGATGCCAAGTGTTTGGGAGAAGCCAAACCAGGTCGGCAAGTGTGGCCAAGTTGGGTGAGGTGGATGGCATGGGTTGGGAAAGTGACAAATGTCAAAGTTGGGGTGCCTATAGAGAGGGGAATTGTGTGGTATGGGGTTTCCTTGGTTGGGGAATTCCTAGGGACCTTCCCTCTCGTCCTCCTCATCCCCTTCTACCTGGTTCTTGCTTCTCTAACTTTCTTGTGTAAACTTGTGAGATAATTGTGATTGAGTTAAGTTTCTATGGCAACATACCCCCTAGTGCGCCAAACTTCATAACTCGAGTTATACTCCATATTTTGGTACAATTCAAATTGGGAACGATAGCCACGGTCCAGGGTTACATCATAATCGAGTTTGAGAGAGTTCTAACAGTGCGTGTTTGGTCGACGACGTTTCTTGTGACGACGACTTTTCTGTCCAGAATTGTTGTTGACGATTTTGAGATATTTCGGCCCTTAGTCTCTAACATATGATGCGGAACGCGAGGCCTGGACATGGGGACGCCATGGCCTGCGCATTTCTGCATGCGGACTGGAGCACATGAAGCCTATTGCCGCAGCTCCTTCCGAGGACCAAGTCGGGGATGATGACCTTTCGGCGTCATTTGGGGCAGAGTAGATTAACGCCCTTGTTGGTTCGCTGGATATGGTGCGGGATGTTGCAGGGGAAGGATGGGAGCTTGTTTGTTGCAACATGTGATTCACATGAGTGTGCGGGAGGCGTAGAGTGAAAGAGTGTTTGCGGGGTTTTGCATGCGGGATATGGCTACTAGTGGGTATAGGGGGTCATTTGTAAAATGTTAGGAGCTTGTGTGTGTGCTGTTGAAGGAAGGATAAAATACATTCATGGGGAAGAGATGTACAGTCTTGACAACCGTAGCCTACAGCGGATGGGCCAGGTGGGGGGGCACGCGTCAACCAGGTGTGTGTATAGCCTAATCTCACGCCGCGATTTGCGGCGCGTGTCACGGGGTTCGCCAAATGGCGCGTCCGTGTTGGATCGTGGCCGTCGTAGTAGTCACTATAGTAGTCACCACCAGTGGTGTCCATGGATACCTTTCTAAATCGTTTGAAAGGTATCCAACACGGTCGATTTAGCATTGAAAGGTATCCAACACGGACGATTGGATCGTGATCGTGGTCACGATTCCTCACAGGAAAGCACAGGCACAGTACGACGCTGTAGTCGCCTATTACTCCTCGCCTGCCACTGCTGCTCTAGGCCGTCTTCTACTGCCCTACCTGTTTCCCGAGCTGTCTGCCTTTGCCACAGTAGAGGACCTGGTTTCCCACCTTCGCACTAGCGACGCTTGCTACCGCACTGCCGCCCCAGCTGAGTTCCTTGTCAGGAGCCAGCCCCCGATGTTCATCACTCTCTACTTTATAGTCACCCGCCTCCATGACTCTCTTCGCTCTGTCAGGGACCACTTTCTCTCCCTTGACCCCACAGTCCTCACTGTTGACCTACTCGAGCAGCACCTCCTTGCAGCTGAGACTATTGAAGTCGCTGTAGGTGCTGCTCATGGCACTCCGCGTACGCCCTTCTTGGAGGGCTGCTCCCCCTCCCCCCTTTCCCCCTCCTACGCCTCTGCTGCTGCTGTTGACGTCCCTGGTGCTGAGGACGTCGGGGCTGCTTCTGCTAGTGCGAAGCGCCGCAGCAGCAAGGGCAAGGGTGACAGGGGTGGTGGCGGTGGCAGCGGGGGTGGTGGTGGGGGCAGCAGTGGAGGTGGTGGAGGCAGTGGAGGTGGTGGCAGTAGTGGGAGTGGTGGCGGGAGTGGGGGCTTTGGCGGAGGCGGTGGTGGCAGCGGTGGGGGTGGCGGTCGTGGCAGCAGTGGGAGTGGTGGCGGTCGGGCTGGAGCCACTCAGCGTGGAGGTTCTGGCGGTGGCCAGAGGCAGCAGCAGCAGCGTCGGAGCGAGACCCCGTCGCCCCAGCAGCTTCGTGAGTGGTTTTCTCAGCGTGGGGCGTCTGGGGGTAGTGGTAGCTGCCCGTATGTCATTCGCACGGGTGACCATGCTGGTCAGACATGCGGGAAGCCTCACACTCAGCTCCGCTGCTTCTCCCTGTCAGAATCCCAACCACTGGACCATTGGGATAAAAGGGCTTGTTAAGTAGCGGGTCAGTGTGCCCATAACCCCCCAGGACAACGAGCCTGTAACCCTTGCCTAGGATCAATCGGGCATCCACAGTGCAGATCTACTGACACCCCCCCATACTGGAAGGCCTAGGACTGAGCAAAGCAGCAACGGCCTACATGTGCATACATCGGGATTCGAACCCGAGACCGCTCTAATACCATGTCAGAATCCCAACCACTAGACCATTGGGAGAAAAGGGCTTGTTAAGTAACAGGTAAGTGCGCCCATAACCCCCCAGGACAACGAGCCTGTAACCCTTCCCTAGGATCAATCGGGCATCAACAGTGTAGATCTACTGACACTCCTGCCTCGACGACGCTTGGCATGCAGAGTTTGGTGACGAGGCCGAGCGCCCCCGCTGGGCAGAGCTGCTTAGGTCTGGAGTTGCTATCTTTGACCTAGACTATGATGCTATTCTTGCTGCTATGTATGCCTTGTCTGTTAGTGCTGAGGGTGACTGTTGCCTGTGTGTGCCACCTGACCCAGATATAGAGGCTGTTGCTCTTGGTGCTAGTGAGTTGGTTCTCCCTGGTACTAGGTGCTTCACGCTGTATCTTTCACGTCAGCACCACCCTCACTCCTCTCTCTGCACCTGTACTAGTCAGAATGGCTGACCCCTCCGGGGGCCCAGCCCTTGCCCGTTCCTCCACTGTTCTCCCGTGTCCGGCGGTTTCATCCGGCTCACTGTCAGGTCTTCACCTCCCCTTGTTCTCTACGAACTTGGTGAGTACCGCTGCCCTCCAGGACGCGATGGTCACTACCACCACTCCTGAGGGTCAGCGTGTGTCGATCTGCACATGTATACGGACGGGCCGCCACCTGGCCACGTTCACTCGTCGGCCTGGGTCGAGTCTGTACACACTGGCTACTGAGCCTCCTCAGGTAGCTGCGTCTGCCCAGGTGTCCGCGTCAGGTCAGGTAGCACCCCCTTGCTCGTGTTGCCTCCTGTCGCACCAGACTCTCCTGTGGCACCACCGCCTTGGTCACCCCTCCCTGCCACGCCTTCGTGGCATGCACTCCCGCCTCCTTGTCTCGGGTCTTCCCAGGTCTTTGCCTCCCCTCCCGCCCTCGCCTGCCCCACCCTTCCTTCCTTGCGTCGAGGGGCGGCAGCGCGCCGCTCCTCACTCCTCCTCGTTTCCCCCGACGTCTTCTCCCATGCAGACTCTCCACATGGACGTGTGGGACCCAGCCCGCGTCACTGGACAGGGCCACGAGCGCTACTTTCGACTGGTTGTTGACGACTACACGCGGTACACCACGGTCTTCCCCTTGCGCAGCAAGGGGGAGGTCCCTGATGTCTTGATCCCTTGGATCCGCGTAGTCCCTGATGTCTTGATCCCTTGGTCGCTCATACCTCCATGATCCATGCAACCGCTCCCCATTTTCTGTGGTCGTTTTCGGTCCGGTACGCTGCGCATCAGCTCAACCTCTGGCCCCGTGTCTCCTTGCAGGAGACCTCTGTCAGAAAATATAATTATATGTTCTGTAATATAACTGCCTGTAGGATTTACTGTAGTGTAGCTCGTATTGTTTGGTGGTGCACCTTTGTTCAATTTGCTATATGTACCTTGTGTGCTATAGTGAAACCATCATTCCTCTCGACATCCCCCTTTCCACAATC